CAGTACTACGAGAAGGATGGGCGGCTGTACTGCAAGAAGGATTACTGGGCACGTTTTGGGGAGCTGTGCCATGGCTGCGCCGAGCAGATCACCAAAGGGCTGGTCATGGTAAGGGGAGGGGGACCCCCAGCCGGGGGTTTCTGTTCCTGTGTGGGTTTTGTGGCTGCCAGAATTCCCCGGTGCACGGGGAGCGGATGGAGGTGTCTGCGCGGCAGCACTGATGTCACCATCTGTAGGTGGCTGGGGAGCAGAAATACCACCCCGAGTGCTTCAGCTGCCTCAACTGCCGAGCGTTCATCGGGGATGGGGACACCTATGCGCTGGTGGAGCGCTCCAAGCTGTACTGGTAGGTACTGGTGGCAGCAGGGGGACGCATCCCTGTACATTTTCCCCGGTCCCTGTGCTCACCCACCCTGCCCCGCAGTGGGCACTGCTATTACCAGATGGTGGTGACGCCGGTCATCGAGCAGATCCTGCCTGACTCGCCAGGCTCCCGCATCCCTCACACCGTCACCCTTGTCTCCATCCCTGCCTGCTCCGATGGCAAGCGTGGCTTCTCTGTTTCCATCGATCCGCACTGCGGTGCCCAGGGCTGCGGCGCTGAGCACTCACGCACCGTCCGCGTCCGAGAGTGTGTATCCCATCCCTGGCACTGAGGTCACACCCTGTGGTTGGGTCCCTTCTGCTTTGCCACACTTTTGGGGTGGGAGGGTGAAGGATGGGATTGGTGTGGTTCCATCTGCCCATGGTGGCCCATGGGGATAGTGATGGATGTTCCTATCAGGCAGGGGTGGCACTGTGTCAGCGTGTCCCCATCTATCAGCGTGGCTGGAAGTGATGTACTAGGTTCGTCTGTCTGTTGGGGGGCTGTGGGAAACAACCCATAAGCTTGGGGTGGCTTGGCATCTCCATCTAACTCGAGGGTACAGTCCCAGTGTGTCCCCATCTAACAGGGATGACCCATGGGTATAGTCCCAGTGTATCCTCACCCCTCAGTGCGACCTGTGGGCAGTGTGCCTGCACGTCCCCACCTGGCAGAGACACATCCAATGGGGCTGACCTCCCTCTTGTGTGCTGGCCATGCAGGGTGGACCCAGACTGCATCAGCCCCGATGTGAAAAACTCCATCCATGTGGGTGACCGCATCCTGGAGATCAATGGCACACCCATTGGCCATGTCCCACTGGATGAGGTAGGCTCTCCCCGTGCTCCCCAGCATGTCTGTCCCTTGGGGTGCCCCATGCCACCCCATGTGCTCTCCACCCAGATCGACCTGCTGATCCAGGAGACCAGCCGTCTGCTGCAGCTGACCATTGAGCACGACCCCCACGAGCCCCTGCCCCGTGACTCAGCACTGCCCTGCAGCCCCCTGCCTGACCCACACAGCCCCCTGCGCTCTCCAGTCCCTGCACCCCATGGAGACCTTGGCACCATGCGCCAGCGTGCCGTCATGTAAGGCCACCACACATCCCCAAGTCCCCTAGCTTGTTCCCCAACCACCAGAGTGACCACACGTCTGTCTGTCCCGCAGGAGGAGCTGCAGCACAGACAAGTCTCCAGGCTCCAGCTCGGTGGGCTCACCCGCCTCCCAACGCAAGGACATCGGCCGCTCCGAGTCGCTGCGCGTCGTCTCTCGCGCTCACCGCATCTTCCGCCCCTCTGACCTGATCCACGGCGAGGTGCTGGGCAAGGGCTGCTTCGGCCAGGCCATCAAGGTGCAGTACCTTACCATGCCATTTATGTTATGAGCATGGTGGTCTCGGCTGTATGGGGTAGGGATGTGAGTGATGCATCCCAGAGGTGCTGAGTGCCTGTCCTCTGCCAGGTGACACACAGGGAAACGGGCGAGGTGATGGTTATGAAGGAGCTGATCCGCTTTGATGAGGAGACGCAGAGGACTTTCCTCAAAGAGGCAAGCGAGGCACCTGTGTATACCCGGGTGGGGGGACAAGGGTAGGGCAGGCTGCCATTATTTAAAGAGAGGTTCAGATTGGGTGTTATGAACGATTTCTTCACAGAGTGGTGAGGTATTGGCACAGGCTGCCCAGGGAGGTGGTGGGGTCGCCGCCCCTGGAGGTATTCCAGAACTGGAGATGTGGCACTGAGGGATGTAGGCAGTGGGCATGGTGGGGGTGGGGTGGGTGGGTTGGTGTTGGATTTGGGAATGTTAGTGGTCTTTTCCAACATTAATGATTCTAAAGTCCCTCCTTGCGGGATGCTGGGAGTGGTGCTTGGGAGATGCTGGGTCATGGGGTTGGTGGCTGTGTGGCTCTGTAACCATGTAACCAAGGGCAGTGAGCACAGGGACACCCTGGGGTATCCCAGAGCTGATGGTGCTGCGGTCCCCAGGTGAAGGTGATGCGCTGCCTGGAGCACCCCAATGTGCTGAAGTTCATTGGAGTGCTCTACAAGGAGAAGCGGCTCAACTTCATCACTGAATACATAAAGGGGGGCACCTTGCGGGGCCTCATCAAGAGCATGGTGAGTGTGGGGGGAGTGGGTGGGGTGCAGCTCAACCACCCTCAGCCCATGGCAGGACCCCCATCTGTCTTCTCTTTCCCGCAGGACAGCCACTACCCCTGGAGCCAGCGGGTCAGCTTCGCCAAGGACATTGCTGCTGGCATGGTGAGCAACGCATGTGTGGGTCTGTGAGGTGGGATTGGGTGGGCTGATGGTGGAAGTACTGCTGAGTCCATCCCTACCCAGGCCTACCTGCACTCCATGAACATCATCCACCGCGACCTCAACTCCCACAACTGCCTAGTGCGGGAGGTGAGTCCCACCATGGCTGTCCCACAGTGGCCCAGCAACGGGACCAGCCCAATGGTGCTGGCCCCATACCTCACTCATCCCCTCCATCCAGAACAAGAGCGTGGTGGTGGCCGACTTCGGGCTGGCGCGGCTGATGGTGGATGAGAAGAACCAACCCGAGCACCTCCAGAACCTGAAGAAGCCAGACCGCAAGAAACGCTACACGGTGGTGGGCAACCCTTACTGGATGGCCCCCGAGATGATCAACGGTGGGCATGGCCAGGGCAGGGGACATGTGGGGAGGGGACAGCATGACCTGACCCATCTCTCCTGCAGGGAGGAGCTACGATGAGAAAGTGGACATCTTCTCCTTCGGCATCGTGCTGTGCGAGGTGGGGGCCGTGCCGCTGTCCGTGGTGCTGCTCGGCCGTACCGCTGGCGCTGAGCCCTCCGCCCCTCTCCTCCCCGCAGATCATCGGCCGGGTCAGTGCTGACCCTGACTACCTGCCCCGCACCACCGACTTTGGCCTCAACGTCCGTGGCTTCTTGGAGCGCTACTGTCCCCCTGCTTGCCCCCCCAGCTTCTTCCCCATCGCCGTCTGCTGCTGTGACCTGGACCCTGAGAAGCGGTGAGCACCCTCCATCGCTCGCTCGTCCCGCATCTTGCTGGGGGATGCTCGCGTGGCCGGGGTGGTGACATGCTATTTGTTCCTCCGTCTGTCTGCAGGCCGTCCTTCAGCAAGCTGGAGCAGTGGCTGGAAACGCTGCGCATGCACCTGGACATCCGCCTCCCGCTCAGCTCGCAGCTGGAGCAACTCACCTGCGCCTTCTGGGAGACGCACCGACGGGGCGAGGGGGGGCTGCCCCCCCACCCTGAGCTCCCCGACACAGCCCCCCACCTGCACCCCCTCTAAACCCACAGCATCTTCCCCAGCCCGGGGCTGGCCCCCGCGCCCCCCAGCATCCCCTGTCCCTGGGAGCTGGCTCTCCCCGGACTGCACAGCCTGCACGGCCCTCCCTGTACATAGGGCCCCCCAGGAGCGAGGGGTGGAGGGGACACTTCCCCTCTGCATTCGCTCGGTGACCACACGGCCCCCCCCTCTGCACACCCGGGGGTCCCCCTGTCCCAGCCCGGAGGTGCCTTGGGTTTCCGTGAACTTGCACTGCAGCACAGTAGGGGCGTCCCTGTCCTCCCCAAGCAGTGGGGGGACGCTGTCCCCATCCCCCTCTTCGGATGTCCTCGTGTGCTCACGAGCGGGGACAACCGGGGTGGCACCACGGGGATGGACACATTGCGCTCCACACGTCCCCACTGCGCCGTGACCACCGTGTCCCTTGGGAGGGCCATGCATCCCCCCAGGGCTGAGCCAGGTCTTGGCGGGTGTGGGGACGCCGTGGTCCCCCTGGGGTGGCCGCGCCGTGTGGTGCTTCTCATGCTCTTTATTCAGGTTCATTTTCTGTAAGATATTTAAAGAGAAGAGTTTGTATTATTTTTTCATACGATGTAGTTTGCCATTTGTCACTGCCTCAGTTCTGCTTTACCGAAGGATGAAACTGTGAAGCCTCTCCGCGCACTTTGCCCGGGAAGTCCAACGCGACGTCCTCTGCGGAGGCGGGAAGGGAACTCAAACTGTGATGTACCCCGGCCCTCGGTCAATAAATCCTTCCCCGCTCGCTGCGCGGCCTCTTTGGGACTATGTGCTCCAGCCCTGGGGTCCCTGCTGGAGCAAGGTGGGACCAGGTGGACCCTGAGTCCCTGTCACCTCCATTATCCTTGGTGCTGTGGGTTGCTGGATCCCTGGGTACTGGGGCATCCCTGTCCTGGGAGGATTTGAGTCCTGGCTGGAAAAGACCTTGATTCTAAGGGAGGGGACAGGGTGGTGGCAGTAGAATATCCCAGGGATGCTGCAGCTGGACAAGGGAATAGCACAGCCATGAGGAAGAGGAGCTTGAGCTCCAGACTGGCTCCATGTGGATCACAAGGGAAGCCTCGGGTTTATTGCTCTGCTGATGCTCAGGGTCTGGATCCTTTGAGGCTGTGCTGGCAGCCTGTCCCATCTGTGGGAGCATGTGCCTGGTTGCTCCTTTGTGAAGAACTATGGAGGGACTGGGGGTATTTGGAGAAGAGATGGTAGCTTCATCCCCAGGGAGCAGCACAGGGACACTCTGGATCTTGCACCCACAATGAAGGAACTCCTGGAACTCTTGTCACACCTCCCTTGGTGACATCATGCTATGCCACTTCTCCCCTCTGGGCACAGGACGCAGGCAGTGTGGGACTCACACATGCCCTGCTCCCTGGGGACGGATTTCATCCAATCTCCGGCCACCCCCCACACAGCCCCATGGCCCCCAACCCACTGCTGCCACCAGACAGTGCAACCCTACAGGGGCCCTCAGCCACCATCCCCCAGCCTCGTGGCAAGGTGCCTATGTCATCCTATGTCCCTGAGTTGCCCCAGAGGCTGCAGGGCAGGCGGCCAATGCCATCAGGCCGCTTGGTGGTGGCCCTGCAGCGTCCCCTGGGTGAGCAGCAGCAGGCAGTGGGCAGCCGCCTGCAGCCCGGAGCAGGGCAGGGACAGAGCAGTGGTCACTCAGTCACCTTCACACTAAGTGACCTATCCCGGGCAGAGCCACCAAGCAGGGGTTGTCCTCCATGTGGCAGCCAGGTGGCCACAGCCATCCTAAAGGAGCAGATGACACAGACCGAGCCCTGCACGGTAGTTTTGTCACCTCACATGATTGATGTGGGGACCCAATTGCCCCAAGATCCTTGTGCCACCCACCCCACCGTCTGCACCCCAACCCCACCACCACCTCGCAGCCCCATCACCAACCCCAAACCACCCCGCAGAGCTCTGCGGCCACTTGTGCACAAATCCATTTCCCGATGCTCAGGGCACCAGGACCCCATGGAGCAGGGCTCCTTGTCCCCACAGCCCCCTCCAGCCCAGCCCAGCAGGGAGCAGAATGAGCACCTGTGTGTGCTGCACCACAGGGCTGAGCAGATGGCACACCAGCACCCAGCACCTTTCCAGCTGTCACCTCCCACCAGGGACATGGGCACCCAGGCCAGCTCTGTGCCCGTGAACCCACACCCTGATCCTAGGTCCCCAAAAGCCCCCTGTGCCTGTTGTCCCCAGCACTGCCCTGCTGTCCCCTTGCCCTGGGATGTCTCCACCACCAGGGCTCTGTCCAAGCCTGATCGCAGCTCAGCTTGGTGGCCCCTGCTGCACTCACTGCACGCTGTCACCCCGTGCCCCGTGTCCCCAGTGATGGAGCCGAGCACTTCCAAGAGCAGCCCTGTGGAGGTGGATGCCATTGCAGAAGTCCCGACAGGCAGAGGTGGCTTCAGTGAGGATGTGGCAATGTGTGACAGAGCTCCTGCCACCACCCTGCTGCAGGACAACGGCTCCAAGAACTTTGCCTGTGGTGTTGATGTTGGGCACAAGGTGGACAAGGAGCTGGCCACTGAATTTAAGACGACCTTCATGGGTGAGTTTGGGTGGCTAGGGCGAGCAGACAGGGAATATGGTGATGCCCAGGGACACCTGTGTCCCCTTTGCCCTACCCTGGGGGCACACCTGGAGGGGACAGCATGGAGCAATGGTCACAAGGAGCTGCAGCTCACAGCCTTCCTCCCCATTGCAGTCATGACTGACAAGGGGAACACCGACTTCTTCTGGAACCTGAAAGGTGAGGCAGGTGCCCGCAGCAGTTTTTGTAGGGTCTACATAAACACAGCATTTGTGCATCCCTATGCCATGCACTGTGCTAGCCCTGACGTGTGCTGGGGGGACATGGGGACAGCCAGAGAGCCCAGCAGTCCTCAGCTGATGGAAAATCTTGCTTCTTCCCACCCCGGTGCCATCCTCTGCCTGCTTCTGTGTTGACCCTTCCCTGGCTGCGGCTTCAGATGAGGAGGTAAGTGATGGCCTGGCAGCACTGGATCCCCCTTGTGGGGGATTTTGGGGCTGGTGACATGGGATGAAGCATGGGAGGTCTCAGGGGGTGGCACAGAGCTCACCCATGGTTTCCCCCACCCTTGGCACAAGTCTGGGGACATGCTGCAGAGGGACAGCGTGGGAGCAGCAGGCAGGGAAGGGGTTAATCACCCCGTGTCCTGGGATGGGCTCTTTCCATCTTGTTTGGGTTTGGAGGAAGAACAGCTTTGGCAGTGCGCAGCCTCGTCCCAAAATAACTCGGCCTCCCATGGTAATTACAGAGCTGCCCCTCCAGCTCGCTGCTTCCCTTCCAGCTGCTACCGCCTGGGCTGGACAGGACAGGGTGCTGGGGGTGCTGAGGGTGCTGGGGGCCCTGGGGACCACCACCCACCCTTCGTGTCACTGCTCTTCTTCTTGTGTCACCCCTGGACAAGGAAAACTGGGTCAGTGTGGCATCTCTAAGATTGGGGACATGGCTGCTGTGCCTGGCACTGTCCTGCTCACGTGGAGTAAAGGCACACAAACCCCACAGGCTCCGCTCCCACAGTGATGTGGCCACACTGGGGACACCCAACACACTTCCCCACCCACGCATGGGCAAAGCGTGACCCCCTTTGGCTCCAGCTGCCACATCGCCTGGCCTTGCCCTGCTGCATCCCCCCCCTGCTCTGCAGCTGATCCCTTCAGCTTTTAATGCTCTATTTAAAGCCCGGGCTGCGGCTCTGCGGCCACATCCCTCTGACACAGTCAGGCACCATTCTCCTCCAGCGAGGCCAAATTCCCATTGCTGAAGGCTGAGCACATCACCCACCGGTGCAGCTGAGCACGGGTAGCTCATCACAGCAGTGGCCAGCTCCACTGTCCCCAGGAGAACTGCTCCTTGAAGGGCAGCGGGCAGCAGGGCTCAGCATTACGGCGAGTAATCCCCAGTAAAGCTGTGTCTCAGAAGGGAGTGCTGACTGCAGGGATTAGGATTGAAGCATCCACCCTCACCTATCTGCCCTGCCCCATATGGATGTGGACAGGGGTTGTTCATGCTCCCAGTACCCTGCAATCGGTGTGAGTTGTGCACGTTCCCTGGTGTCTTCCAGCAGTGGTGTTAATGCTGGTACCAAGTATCTGCTGAGCAGCACTCAGTATTTTTGCCCAATTCCTTGAGTCAATTCCCGGTGCTGGGGCTGCCCCCTCCCACCAGTACCAGGTGCCAGTGCTGGTGCTCTGTACCCAGTACCGCTGCCATCACCCTTCAGTGGGTACCCATACTGGTGCCCTGTGCCTGGCATCAGTACTGGTGGCCATACCTGGTACTGGTGCACTGTCCTGAGGCTTTGATAACAGTGCCCCACACCCAGTTCCCAGTGCTGCAGCCCTGTTCCCTGTACTGCTACTCCACACCGGTGCCCTGTGCCTGGTACACAGCGCACAGCATTGGTGCCAGCACTTGGTCCGTGGCATTGGTGCACTGGATGATGTACAGTTCCTGGTACCGGTACCGGTGCCCTGTGCCAGTACGCAGTGCCAACACCGATGTTGGTGCCGGTACAGACGTTATCGCGGATGCCCGGTGCCGGTGCCAGCAGTGATGCCGCCGTCGGTGCCGCCCCGGCCCGCCCCCGCCCCGCCCCGCCGGCTGCCGTTCCGCTAATCCCGGCGGCGGGGCCCGGCCGTGCCGCTCTCAGCCGCCGTTCCCGGTCGGCGCCCGCCCCGCGCGGGCCGCAGCCATGGTAAGGAGAGCGGCGGGGGGAGGAAATGACACACGGGACGCGGGATTCGGGATCGCCGCATCCCGACTCTGCCGCATCCCGGTGCCCTCCGTGAAGGTGACGGTGCCGCGGGGCGGAGCGGGCCGGGCCGGGCCGGGCCATCCGGTGCCGCAGAGGGGCGGGGGGGGGAAAGGGACAACCCGGCCGGACCTGACAGCCACGGGAGGAGCACGGGAGATGTGAAGCGGGGAGAGCGCGCTGCACGCTGCTCCTCGCCGTGGAATCGAGGCGGGACCCCCCTAACACTTCCACCTGCGCCCCGTTATCTGCGGAACCCCCGGGTCGGGGAGGGTAGCGGCTGCCCCAGCACCGCCACTTCTCTGTCACCACTCTGTCACGCCTCTGTCACCCCTCGGTCACCCCCGGAGACGCTGCCCCGAGCGGTCCATCCATGTCCCTCCGCCGGAGCCTCGCGTCCCGCGCCGGTGGCACCGCTCCTCCGCCCCGCTGCCGGCAGAGGGGTCCCCGCGGTCCCCGTAGGGAAACCGTACCCGCGATGGGAGTGCGGTCCCCGTGGCACCGGGAAGGGTGGAGACAGCGCTGCGGCCACCGTGGGAACCGAGCGGCACATTCCTGCGGCGCGGGACGCGGGGAGAGGGGGGGGACGGGCGGTCGGAGGAGCGCGGCGGTCCCGCGGAGAGCCCTCCCCAAACGGTGTCGGATGGGCCTGGGGGGCGGACGGAGCCGAGGGACGCCCCGTCCCCGCTGCTGAGCCATCCGCTCCCGGCCACGTCGGGGCCGCTTCGCGCTCTGGGCGCGCTCAGTGCTCCTGCTCGCCTCCCCCCCTCCGGGCTGCGGTGCGATTAGCGATCCTTACCGGAGTGCTGCGCTGCTTCCAGCCCGGGCGGCCCCGGTGTTACCTCCAGGCTGCGGCACCGCCGTGCTGCCCTGCGCTCCCGGTCCGCTCATTCCTGCGGCTCTGGAAAGGTGCCTCGAGGGAAGGGCTGAACCAAGGGAAGGAGCTTTTTGCGTGGTCCTCTGCATGATGCCATCACCGTGCCCGGAGCCGGGCACCATCCCACTGCCGGACCCTCCACCCTGCTCCTCACCTGTGTTTCCCATATCCAAAGCGATTCTCAGCCCTGGTAATGCTCTCAGCCTCTCCGGGCTGCCCAAGTGCGACAGATGCAGCCCGAGGATGGGTTTCCCAACAGAGCCATCACTGATGGGGTGGGAGGTGAGAAGCTGGAAGTGAGAAATTCTGATTTTAGGGTATTGGTGGCAGCTGAGAGCTCCCGGCACAGCTCAACAACGTGTAGCTGCAGCCCAGGTGCTGGCTGCCTTGGGAAAGGAAAACAGGGACGGTTGAGCCCCTTGTTCTTAAGGGGAGATGGGGTAGCCATGGGGATGGGTTATGGAGAAGCTTCTTGCAGTTTGCAGGGAGCCCAGTTGGACGTTGGGTGAGAGGACAGGCAGGCAGCAGGGGGGCAAAGGTGTTGGTGGTGTTGTGATGTGGGGAGCGGTGTGTGCAAGGCTGTGATGGATGGATGCCACCTTTAAGTGAGATGCAGTGGTAGAGTGCAGTGTGGGTCTGGGGGTGCCCACATCCTGGCTGCAAAGCTTCCCCACAGCAGCCTGAGAAAGCTGAGGGGAGCAGCCAAGCGTGGGGATGCTCACGGTGGCTCTCCCAGCGCCGGTTTTGCTGCCCCAGTGCCTCTGCAGCCTCCCCCCTCGCAGCCCTCGAGCTGTCACCTGCAGGAAGGTGCGATGCGGGGTGGCAGGTGGGGACGAGGCAGCAAATGCCTCCTCGCCAGTGTGTGCAGCAGGGTGTGTAATCCGCTTATGAGGCATGGAGCAGCACTGTAAATCCCCACTCACAGGTGGGATAGTCAGGGCCTTGTGGTGATGATGCTGCTGGGACTCAGTGTGACATCCCATGTGGCACCTGAGCACTACGGGGTGCTGGGGGGTGGAACATCACTCCCTACTGGACCCCTCTGCACCTAAATCCCCATAGTTCAGCTCTCCCCCCTTAACCCCCGTGGTGCTCTGGGGCTTTTTAGCACTTTCCCAGCTAAGTCAGGCAAGTGAAGCGTGCCCAGTCCCGTGCCCAATGCATCTCGACATGCATCAAGGCAAATCAGCATCGGGCTGATGGGAGCAGACCCCAGCCCTGACAGCTTGGGCTTCTGCCCTGCAGGGAACCTGTGAGCACTTGGGTTAACCCCTGAGGATGAGGTGGGCAGCAGAGAGGTGTTTTGCTGTGGATGGAGGTATTTGGGATGGAAATGTTGCTTTTGGAATGGATGTCCCACTCAGCTTGAGAGGCATATGGCAGTCAGGCAGCCCAGTTTTCTTTCCACCCACCCACTGCCTTGGCTGGTGATGCTTTATGACCCTTGCCACCCCCAGAGCTGCTCTCTTGCCCCACAGCTAGGCTCACTCTTCTCCCCATATCCCAGTGCTCCCCTGTGCCCCTTGTGTTGCTCCTGCACCCTCCCAGAGCCATGCCTCGGTGCTGAGGGTGCTGGGTGCTCATGCAGGGTGGAGTTATGCTAATGTCCCTCCTGTCCCTCCCTGAGCCTGGGCGCAGCCTGTGCCACTCACAGCATCTCCCTGCCACGAGTGACAAGCGGCTGGGCCATGGCCACCTGTCCCGAGCTGCAGCCTCTGCAGGAGGTATGGGGGGTAGAGGGGGCAGATGTGGGTGGGGGGCACAGTGGGAGCCCTCACCTGGCTGGACAGAGCTGGGGTTGCAGCTCTGTCCCCAAAACAGCCCTGCTTGGGGACACGCTCGCTGCAGGATCCCTGAGGATGTGGTGCAGCCCCTCATGGCATTATAGAGCTCTGTGCTGGGGAGAGGACCCCCAAGGGCCACTGGCACAGCGGGGTAGTGGGGTTGGGAGTGGAGGGGACAGAGGGCACTGTCACCTGTCCCCATGTGGTCCTCAGATGGGCAGCGTGCACTGAGCACACTGATCAGGGTGAGGATGCTGCAATTGCGGGGACACACTGAGTGCTGCTGACATGCTGAAGATGGAGGGGGGGCTATTGCAGGGGCCATTCAGCCCCTTGATGACTGTCACCATCCTGGTGGCTGTGGGGGTGCTGGGCAGTGCGGGGCAGCTGAGCATGCTGTGGCCTGGCAGCAGTGTGACCTCGTTTCCAGCCCAATAACTCAGCATGCTTTGCCTTGCCTCCGGCAGGGACATAGGACATGGGAGGGGGGAAGTGTGTTCCATGGTGGACTGTCACCTTGAGACCCCAAGATGCTGTCCTGCAGAGTGGGAGCTCCCCAAGGCCCTCCATTTGGGGCCACCTTGTAGGGCCAGGGATCCTATGGTGATGACCATGGGGAACCATGCACAAACTCCTGCCCCCTCTAAGGTTCTCAGCTCCAGGGCTGTCACCTCTCATCTTTCTTGTTGCTCTCTTCCTCCCTCCCCGGTGCACCTTTCCCTCACAGCCACATATAGGGGTTCTGCCAGAAGACCCCAAGGAACGTGGGGGTGTCCAGGGCCCTCCCAGGGCCAGGGGGGACAGTCCCCACCCGTGTCCCCAGGAGTGCCAGGAGCCTGCTGACCTCCCCATGCAGCAAGCTGTAAGCACCCACACCACCCTGCTGCATGGCACCGCGCTGTCCCTGCTCTGTCCCCACGCCTGTCCCGGGGCTGGCACTCTTGTCCCTTTCTTTTGTCCCCAAGGTGTCCCTGCCTTGGGGTGCATGAGACTGACAGCAGAGGTTTGGGGTTCTAATGTTGTGTTGATCTGGGGCTCCCACGACGCAGAGCCATCACAGTGCAGTGCCACTGTGGTGCCATCACGGCATGGCACTGTCACCACAGCCATCCCCTCTCTCCTCGTCCCTTCTCCCCCCAGATCAAGCGCTTCCTGAAGGAGGACTCAGAAGAGGCTGAGCTCACCCAATTCCTCAGGGACTGCCCTCCTGCTGACAGCCCCCGCAAAGTGGAGCCCCCTGAGGGTCGGCGGGATTCTGGCCACCCCCTCTGTGGGAGGGCCCCTGGTGAGGAGCCTACTGATGAGCACGACGTGCGGTCCTTCTCTCGCCCCCGGCCCTTGGACACCCAGCAGCTCATCATGGCCCCCCCACCGCCAAGCCCCTCACGGCCGCGCAGCCCCTGGGGGCAGCTGGACCCCTACGATTCCTCTGAGGTGTGGTGGGCCCCTGGGGAGCAGGGGTGGTAGAGGGGATGGAGGAGTCACTGTGAGGTGTGTGCCCAACCCATGGGACTCCCTTGGGGTTGCCCAGGGGGGCACAGCCCCATGGGGAGCACGCTGTCCCATGTCCCCTCTACCTGTAGGATGACAAGGAGTATGTGGGCTTCGCCACGCTTCCCAACCAAGTCCATCGCAAGTCAGTGAAGAAGGGCTTTGACTTCACGCTGATGGTGGCAGGTAGGAGACTGCATGGTAGCTTGAGTGGGGACAGTGACCTGAGTGTCCCCTCACCATTCCCTGTCACTGCAGGGGAATCTGGGCTGGGCAAATCCACCCTCGTCAACAGCCTCTTCCTGACAGACATGTACAGGGACCGCAAGCTTCTCAACGCTGAAGGTAGGGTAGCAGGGAGGGGGCATGGATGGGTCTGGGGAACCATCCCCAGCTATGACCTTCGGAGCTGGCAGTTCCTCTCCACCCCAGCTGGGCTCCTCCGGTCCCCTACACCCATGTTTGTCACTTATGGGCTTTCCCCAAAGGAGGAAGCAGGCGTGGGGCTCTGCCAAGGCAGTAGGGTCCTCTGGCATGGGTTTGTCTCAGAGCAGTGGCAGAACAAAGCCCGCCTTGTTGGGGCTCATAGGGCACTGGGGACAGTCAGGTCCGGGGCGCAGTGCCACGTGGCCTGGTGAATTGAAATACGGTCCCCATCCCCGGGATCCAGCAGAGTTATTGGATTTCTGTTGGTTGCTAGGAGCTATTTGCAGCCTCGGTGAATGCATGCATGGCTACACACAATGGTAGCATCCTCAGGGACATGGGATGTGAGGACAGAGTGTGAGGGCTCCCATTGGTGTTGTGTTTAAAAGCCAGGGACACAAAGCACCCATGATGTGCCTGGGTTTGGTGCCCATGGTGACCAGGTCACCATGGGGACACCGGCAGCCTGGTGGTGTCCCACGTCCCCAAGGGCTGGGCCTGACTCAGGGGCTGTGATATCTCCTTGTGTCACTGCCATCCCATCGTGGGGATTGTGCTGAGTGCAGTGCCATTGTGGCTGTGAGCACATCCTGCTCATCCCCCCCCCCCTTGCATGAAATGCCTGTGCCATCCCCATGTCTCCTGTCCCTGCAGAGCGCATCACGCAGACGGTGGAGATCACCAAGCACGTGGTGGATATCGAGGAGAAGGGTGTCAAGCTGCGCCTGACCATTGTAGACACGCCAGGCTTTGGTGATGCTGTCAACAACACTGAGTGGTGCGACCCAGGGCACATCCCCAGCATGGGGAGGGGAATGGAATATCCCCAAGGATGGGGATGTGGGGATGGGGATGTGGGTGTAGGCAGCCCCCCGTTGTTCAGTGATATTATGGCTTGTGCTGTCCTTGGGTCACAATACTGACCCTAGGAGGAGGCGTTGAGCCTGGAGATGGTGAGTTTGGGGCTGGGGAAGGGCCATGGGGTGGTCACCTCCCTCCCAGCCCGCTGTCCTCACAGCTGGAAGCCGGTGGCTGACTACATTGACCAGCAGTTTGAGCAGTACTTCCGCGATGAAAGTGGCCTCAATCGCAAGAACATCCAGGACAACCGTGTGCACTGCTGCATCTATTTCATCTCGCCCTTTGGCCATGGGTAGGGTATCCCCATTCCCTGCCCACCTGGGGCTAGCAGCAGCAATGGGAGGGACAGGGAAAGGCTCTGGGCTCACGGGGCTTCCCGCAGCCTCCGGCCCCTGGATGTGGAGTTCATGCGGGCGCTGCACCAGCGTGTGAACATCGTGCCTGTACTCGCCAAGGCTGACACCTTGACACCCGCCGAGGTGGAACGGATGAAGAATAAGGTGAGGTCCTGCCCTGGACTGTCCCCTCACCTTCTGCTCCTCTTGTCTGGTGGCTCTTCAAATCCCCTGCCAGGGCTCTGTGTGGAGCATTCTCCATATTCCCAGCAGTGACAGTCCCCAAGGACATGTCTCTCTGCGAGTGGAGGGATGTCTGTGTCACCCAACTTGGGGATGAGTGTGCTGGGTGCACTGGGGACATGGGGTGTATGGCCCTGTTCCTTCCCATGTGGCAGAGCCCTGCCACACACTGGCTGTGTTCTTCCAGATCCGGGAGGAGATCGACCACTATGGGATCCGCATCTATCAGTTCCCTGAGTGCGACTCGGATGAGGATGAGGAGTTCAAGCTGCAGGACCAAGCACTGAAGGTGGGTTGGGCTCCTCCAGCACTATAGAGAGGGGGCAGAGCCCCACAGAGTGGGGGCAACTTGTCTTGGAGGGGACTTGGGGCCAAGGAAGCCATGTCACACCTCATTGATGCTAGACATCCCATGGAGATCTTGCTGTTGCCACCTGCAACTTGGGGGGAAGGGATAGGATGGGGATAGAAATGGAGATGGGGATAGGGATGGGGGTGGGGATAGGAAAACCCATGCTGTGATGCTGCCACGCCATAGACAGAGCTCCAGGGTATCAGTGCTGGATATGGACAGAGAAATGCAGGTGGAGGGTTGTGGGCCACAGCAGCAAGGCCAAGACCTGCTCTAATTCTATGATCATTCTCTTGCAGGAGAGCATCCCCTTTGCTGTCATCGGCAGCAACACGGTGGTGGAAGCCAAGGGACGGCGTGTCCGTGGGAGGCTCTACCCCTGGGGCATCGTGGAAGGTAACGTCACCAGGACGTGTCCCTGTGGAGATGGAGGCATCTCCTGCTCCTTCTCCATGATCTGGTCCCCATGCAGGTGCATTTGGGGTCCCCTGACCCCTGGTTTCTCCCCCTCCCCCCCCCAGTGGAGAATCCATCTCACTGTGACTTTGTGAAGCTGCGCACCATGCTGGTGAGGACCCACATGCAGGACCTGAAGGATGTGACGCGTGAGACGCACTACGAGAACTACCGCACGCAGTGCATCCAGAGCATGACCCGCATGGTGGTGAAGGAGAGGAACCGCAAGTACGGGCCTGGGAACAGGGCTGGGCTGTGGGAGGGCTGGGGCAGCCCCTCCTCTCCTTGGGTTGTCCATGGGATGTCCTGTCCTGGTGGGTGGCCCTGCCTTGGTGGCTGGAGGGGTGGTGGGAACCCTGTGCTTATGGGCTTTGGGGGCAGAGCAGAGCAGGCAGCAGGTGCCAGGGCTCTGCCATCGTTGCCAGATTGATGGCACTTGCATGCCCTTTAGCACCCCAAAATGTGGGTGCCCAGTGGGCTGGCATGGTGTGGGGACTCTGCGGGGGGCCTTGTCCTTAGCTTTGGGCAGTCACTGGTGATGGCCATGGGTGCCCTAAGCTTGTCTCTCCATGTGCACTGGGAGAAGGAAGCAGCCCTCGGCGCTGCGGCTGTGCTGCTCCGACTGCTCCGCAGACTGAGCTGGGGACGGGCCCGTCCCCCCTGCCACCTCCGCTGCATCCCCCTGCCCCTCTATAAAGTGCTTGCTGGTACCTAATGCTGTCTTGGTCCTTCTGTGCCTGGCAAGGGCTGTGCACAAAAGCACTGGGGTGGGGGCTCCTGGGCCAATCCTGCAGCCACCCATCCATTGCCCAGATCGGCATCCGATTGCCCATGGTGCAGCACCAATGGAAGGATGCTGTGCCCATGTATTGGGGACACCCAACTCATTTGGGCAAGGCAGGGACACCATGTGCCACTGTCACCAAGCACCCACCTCCAGCAGCAAAGAGGTCCATGGGGTTGGGTGCGCTGGGCACAGTACAACTTTGTTCCCATCCTAAGGCACACAAAGCAAAGCACCTTATCCTGGGGTGGAGCCAGCTCAGGGTGCAGCCACTGACTCCTTTAAGAAGGGTCCCTGGGGCAGGTCCCCTGGGCTGGTGACCTTGCTCGGCCCATGCTTGATTCCATCCCCAGTGACCATCCCAAAGTGACCCCCAATGGTGAGGAGCAGTGAAAATGGGTGGTGGTTTCCCAAAGCAACTCAGGACGCAGTCAGAAGCCAGCCCTTGCCTGTGCACACCCACACCTACCCCAGTGCCTTGGGGCAGCCATCCCCTGTGTCAGCTTCACTGAACGCATCACCGCTCCGCTTGTCGCTGGCGCATGGTGGCACGCGTGACCACTGTGAGTGACAGTGATGTCCCCACCACGTGTCATTCAACGGGGACCCTCCCATGCCCTTGTCATGGCAGAACCCATCGACTCAGATCACTTCAGTCCTGCCCAAAGGGGTAGCCCGGGGGGGGATGCGCTGCGCTGCAATGCCTGTTCTCAGTGATGCTCTGGGAAAGCTGCACTGCCAGCAGCTGTGGGACACGAGGTTGACAGTGCTGTCCCCAGATCTTGTGTGGAGCTTGGAGGTGTTCGGTGAGCTGGGAGAGCTCGAGTCTGGGGGGGTGGGAGCATCCTCACCTCCTCTCTCTGCCCCGCAGCAAGCTGACACGGGAGAGCGGCACGGATTTCCCCATCCCTGTTATCCCCCCGGTGCCGGACTCGGAGACGGAGAAGCTCATCCGGGAGAAGGATGAAGAGGTGAGCACTGAGCTTCCATTCCTCCCCCCTGCTGTCCCCAGGTGTTGCCTTCAGCCCCAGCATAGGACACCCCTTCTGCAGTGCCCTACACAGGGTGGGGAAGAATTTAAAGAAAATTGTAGGTTTTGCCCCAGAACACAATTCCTGGTGGTCCATACTTGGCAGGCTTGATCAGGGGAGGTGACATGGCCATGGGCAGCACATGTCACCTCTTGTTCCCTTCCAGCTGCGGCGGATGCAGGAGATGCTGCAGAAGATCCAGAAGCAGATGAAGGACTCCCACTAACCACCCCCCCCTTCTTCCTCCTCCTCCTCCTCCTCCGGCCGTGCCCCACGCGGATCAGAAATGTTTACATCATGCTCCATCCCAGCCAAGCTCTGAGACTCGGTACCAACAACACCTCTCACCTTAAGCTGCTGCAGTGTCGCCTTATGGACTTGGGGACGGCGAGGGGATGGGGTGCACCTCCCAAGTTCCCCCATACACTGTCCCAGTCCCTTCTGCACCCCCTGGGCTGGGTGCAGTGTTGTCCCCATGGCTTTGGCTCCCTCTGTGTCCTCCCCACCCCGGGTATTTTCAAGAGGTCACAACTACCCTGTTGCCCATGGTCTTGTCCCTGTGTCACCTGGGGCTGCCTGCTCATGCTGTGAAGGAAGAGGGAAGGAGAGGACTGGTCCCAGTCTCACAAACTGGGGTCTGTACCACTCAAGATAGGGGTGGAAAGGAAATCTGATGACAAAGGGTCAGTGGCTCCTGGAGACCACAGGTCACCCTTGGCCAGGGTCTTCCCTGCCAACAGAAGGTGTTCTGAAGTTCAATGGTGTCCAGCCCTGTGTCCTTGTCACATTCCTTGTCCCAGTGGAGCACTGTCCCATGGGAGCATCCCATGCTAGTGCACAAGGAACCTTGGGGAATCACCATCTCCCCCAAACACCATTCCTCCAACCCCAAATCACAGTGAGCAGAGACCTGACCCCACCCTGTTGGCCCTACAAAGCAATAATCACCGTCCCCTCCCTCAGCAAGAGCTTTGTCCCCCGATGGCGTTTTGGCTGCTTGCTTATCCATCATGACACTGTGTCCCCCCAGATGTCCCCATCCATGCTGCTTCCTGCCAGAGCACCCCAACTCCCCGCTTCCCTCAGGCAATGGGGAAAGAAGAAAGGGGACAGTGAGGCAGCACGGTGGCCCTGAGGGCTGGAGGCAGAGCTGGGGGTATGGGGACATGTCCCCTCCCCACCTGGGCCACCCTCTCTGGTATCCCCTGGGTGGGTTTGAGCCTCAGCCCCACAGTCCCCATGTCACAGTTTGGATGGCTCAGGCTGGGTGGCGGTAGGGACAATGCCAGCAGTGTCCCTGTGTCAGCCACAGCCCGAGGGGTCCCTGTGTCAGCTCGCCCATGACCGGGGACCTGCAGGCTGGATGAGCACTTTCCTTTTTTATCTTGCTATTTTCTTACTGAAGAACCTACCTTTGCATGATGGTCATAGATGCATTTATTAAAATATACAAAGAATATAGGTTTATAAATTCGTATAGAGCTAGTGGAAATATTTTTAACCCCTCCACGAACGTTCTCAATAAATACAGCTGACCTGGCTTGTCTGCACCCATGTGTCACTTCCACAGGTGGGCGCAGGAGGATGGTGATGGATGGCCCTCAGACCCCACTCCCTCTTCCACCTCCCCCTTCACCTTGTAGGTACTCAGGGAACATCTTTACCCCTTGCTCCCCTTCACCCCTTCCATACATTCCCTGGATCCACATGGATGGTTAAAGCATGTCCTGGATCGACTGCACTGAGCTGGCCAGAGGAGTTCCCCTCCTAGCAGTCCTTGGATGGGAGCTAAGGCCAGCTGTTGTGTTTGCACCACCCAAGAGATGTTGATTTTCTATTCTTACGTGCTTTTTGCTGCCAGAAAGTTATTAACCTCCCCTCTTGTCCTGCTCTTCGGGGCCACTTTGGGCAGGGTCCCTGAAGGGGCAGGAGCTGCTGTGGGCACCATTGTCACCCTGCTGCAAAAAGAGGCTGTACCTGTGTTACACAGAGAGCCTTAAATCATCTTCATCAATATCATCATAACGCCAACATGGGAATGGAGAAGTGCCTGAGTTTGCCTCCAAATGCACGCTGTGGTGGCCATGCCTGCTGTTCCCTGCCCAGGACAGCCGGCCAGGCTGCTTGCTGTGACCTCAGAGCAGCTGACTTGGCTTGGTGCCCCTCACCCATCTCTGTGCTTGCATCCTCAGAAGGAAAACCCCGGTGCTCAAGCTCCGATACCAGCTCCAGCCTGTCTTCCTTCCCTTAGCTCTGCTTCGTTTCATGTGATTTTGATCACATCCTTAAAAAAAACCCACACCCACCCAAAGCCAGCCTTCCCACAAGCGTTTCCAGGGCAGAGATATTTTAGTGCAGCAAAGTCTCTGATGTGAGTTTATGATGTCCTATTTTAGGTCCCTCGCCAGCACTGGCACCATAGTTCCCTTCAACCCTTTGGCAACACTCGCGGTGGGAGGAAATGTTTCAGGGAGGGGAGAGGAAATCTCTGCTCCTTCCCCGTGCTGTGCTATCCTTATATCTGCTAACACACCAGCCAGCATCAGCTCTCCCTTCTAAGAAGCCAAGTGAATGCTCTGCACCCTCCCCTGGATCAACCCTGTAAGGTCTTCCTGCCCCATCATCTCTGTGCCATGGGGCATCCAGATTTTTGATCCAGGAATCAAGCCACTGCCTCTGGTTCCTTCCCACTCCTTCTTGTACTGTCGCTTTGGCACATGAGGATTAAAACTCCAGGTGCAGGTTGCAGGATGGCTTTTCAGGTGCGTAAAGGATTTGGGATGCTCATCTCGTGATGCTATTGGTTGCCTTTGGATCTTCCTCCTCTAACAGGACGGTTTCAGTAGAGCCAAAACCACAACGCTGCTGTGTGTCATTGCTCTTCTCCTTCTCGAAAAGGTGGGTGGAGCACTCCAGAATTACCCTGATGTTGGCAAATGGACCACAAACCATAAATTGGAGAAGTGTTTTAGGATCCCTCTGTTCTTCTGTTCAAACCCTTTTCTCTGGGACCTCTCACGGCTGGTGGAAACCCCCAGTCCAGATGAGTGACTTGACTCCAGTTTCCAAACTACGCTGTGTTTTTTGCCATACATTCTCCTTACCAATAGCCTCACAAAACCCATGGAGAACATCTGGTGTGACACAGCAGTCCCTCAGCACACTTGGCAAACACAGCCGTTCCTTCCCTGCCACGATGAGGTGACAAATGACATCAGCATGAAGTACAGGGACTGAGTGGAGGTGACAGTGATGATGTCCCCCTGAGGGCAAGGATGGGGTAAACACTGCTGGGTCTCCAGCAGGGATTACAGGCCATTGCCAGAGGTCTTTGCTGTTGGCTGTTGGTATCTGGGGAAACAGCACCATCTATTTGCAGCACTATTTGATGTGTGCCTTTGCTTGCAGAGAACAAAATGCCTCCTGGTGGAGCCAGGCCCCTGTGACCCATACTGTGCTGCTCTGGTCCCAGTGGGGAAGAAGTCACCTCCAGGCCCTGAGCTGCCCAGACTTTGCTCTGAGTGTAGGCAGTGGGAGCTGAATGATGTGTGTACAGGCAGCAGGGGAGGAAGGAGGCAGAAGAGGTCCAAGAAGAGGCTGGACAGCCCTGCACTGGGGCCTTCATCTGATTTTTAGCCCTGCCCTTTCTCTCCTCCCCAGGGACATTGGGACACCCATCCCCTCCCTCACCAGCCATACATTTCCCCATAGCAGCCTCTGAGCCCTTGGACAACAGGAAGAGGTTGCGTGCCCTTGCACCAGTCAGTGTCCTTGGCTTTCTGTAGAGCCTTTTTGGCAAGCCATGAGCCCAGAAAAGGTGTTGGCATCCCAAGATCCAGGGGAAGAAAACCAGCCAGCCTCCCCATGGCTTTGCTCTGGCTGGGAAAGCTGGTCCCACCACAGCCTGTCCCCAGGTGGGTGAGAGCAGTGTGCCTGCATCCCAGCTCTTCCTTTCCAACTTTACCACAGACTTGGAAGGAATGAGAAAGCTCTGCTCTATTAAACCTGCTGGGAAAAGGAAAGGCATCAGAAGCTCTGGGGCAGCTATCACTACTTCCTCTTGCTGCTTCTCATCCTGCTTTCTATCAGGCTCAGGCCCTGCTTTTTGATGTCCTCCCGGGTGAGAACCAGGTCGTGGTCTTCATCAACAAAATCAGAGGGAGCTGAGGGAGAAAGTGGAGAGGAGTGGGCTTAGGGGGGTTGTGAGGCTTCCTCTGCCATGCCTGCATCCCCAGGGAGAGCCACCAATCTCAGAGGGTTGGTAGCATCTCCAGCTCAGGTGCTGCCCGCTGGGTTTTCCCTTCTCAGCATCCCCTGGCACTGCCACCACAGCGGTTCATCCCTGACACTGCTGGGGCTTCCCATAGAGGGCTGGAGCCATGGGGTGGTGGTCACAGGTCCTGCTTTGATCATAAAAAGGTGGTAAGCAGCTGAAAACTCAACTCCTCCAAGAGTGTCCCAAAGGAGGTGAGGCCACATAGAGCAAAGCATTTGTTGGTCTTCCCACTCAGGTGATGTTGAAGTCCCTTATTTGGCTGATGAAGACACACAGTCCCTCCATCCCCTGCCCCAGGGCAGCTCTGCTTGCTTCCTAATAGGATTCAGCACTCACCCACCCACTCACCAGTTGCCTTTGCTTTTCTCTAGCCCCAAAACCTACCCTCAAAGCCTTGCAGGCAGACATAGCTCATGGGTTGTGGTCTGATGGGACAGAGGAAGGCAGCACGGGACACCCAGAAGTGCCCAGGGCTGGGCAGTGGCTGTGGGACACGTCCCTGCAGTGCTCACCTACCTTGCACCCCAGAGCCTATGTCCTCCAAGGGAATTTTCAGGTTCCATGGCTCTCTCGCAGTCGTTTTCTCCATTAAGTTCCTGACCTTCACAAAAGTCTGTGAAAGACTTAGAATTAATTGCCGAAGGGAAGGTGGGTGTTAGAACCTGAGGAGTGTCCCACCTTGATGTCCCTCTGGGGAAGAGGACACTCCACAGTGTCCAGCACTATCCTGCCCTTTCCCCAGGGTCACCTCCATCCTTTCAGCAGGGAGAACACCTTGGGATGTGCCACAGAGCCACACGTGGAGCCCCAAAGACCAGAGCAAGGACAGAGCATCCAAGCACCTCATTGTCCTCATCAGGGCTGTAGCTGTGGGCAGGCAGGGAGCTCACACGCTGGGCCAGGTGCTGCAGCTTCTGCCTGCAATACTGCAGCTTCTCATCCACCCCTTTGAACTCGACGGAGAGATCCTGCACGTAGAGAGAAAGACAACCACGATGGGGACAGTGAGTTGCTTTGGGTGATGGCGGCTGCACCAAGTGCCACAGTGATGCACTGCAACATTGAACGCTCATTCCTGGAGGTGTGCAAGGCCAGGCTGGATGGGGCCCTGGGCAGCCTGAGCTGGTAGAGGACACTCAGTCCATGGCAGGAGGGTTGGAACTGGATGACCTTCAAGATCCCCTCCAACCCAAGCCATCCTGTGGTTCTAAGAAATGATTCTTGCCATGGGTCTTGCACTGGGGAGAGGACACACGGTGAGGAGCAGCTGGTGGCACTGTGTCCCCAGCTCCCCTGCACACCTCATACCTGCTCAGGCACGCTGATGCCATGCAGACGGATGATGAGGTTGTCGATGCCGTTCTCAAACTGCAGCAGCAGCTCCTGGTTCCTCACATACTGGGCTCGTGCCTGCTCCAGCCGGGCCTCCTCCTGCTGCAGACGCACCCGTAGCTCTGCCTCCAGCTTCCTGCAGCTGCCCAGACCCACACGTGTCCCTCTGGGTGTCCACGTGCAGACATACCCCAACGTGCTGCACAGGCTGCCCACGTGGACCCAACACTATGGAGCAGAGTGGGCTCAGGCCCAGTGGTGCCACCTCCCAGAGCAGAATGGGAAGAAGGGTCCTCCATGTGCCCAGCAGAGTGCTGGACTGGGCAGACTGGGTTTGAGGGGTATCTCCACATCATGGCTTCAGCACCTGCTGCCACCAGGGCTCTGCAGGACCTCATCCATCCCTCCTCACCTTGTGTCCCTGCTGTCCCAGCTCTGGGTGCTCTGCTGGGAAGAGCACCTTACTGAACAAAGCTCCTGGTGCAGGAGGACCTACTGGGACATGGACGTTCCCCATGCCCAGGTGATAGGAGGACATGTTACTACTGCCCAGAGCATCTGCATCTGGCTGTGTCCCGAGGCCATGGCAGCACCTGATAGCACTTGGGGGCTGGTGGAACTTCAGCTTGGCGTGCTTCAGCTCCAGTTCCTGCAGTGTGTCCTTCAGTGCCCGCCGCTTCTCCTTGCAGGCTCTGATGTGCTGCTCCAGCTCTGCTGTGGACTTCTGCTGTGCCAGCAGCCTGCTGGTGATGTCCTGCCAAGGGATGGCGTAGGGGCTCAGCCACAAGGACAGAACCTCGGATGAGACCTCAAGCAGAGGGCTCAGCTTCTGGCAGAAGGGTTCTGCCCAGGGTGGGCTGTTCCCTTACCCAGACACGGGAGCACTGCACTGCAGCCTTGGCTTTCTCCACCTCCGCCGTCACAAAGGACTCGTGCTCAATCTGTGACCTAGTGGCTTGCACCTGGGAGCCTGGGTGGGAAGAAGGGCAACAGGGAATGGAACTGTCCTCCTCCTCAAGCCCAAGCCCTAATCCTGTACAGTGCCAAGTACTCACCCAGCGCTGAGTCCTGCATCAGCAGGGAGGGGAAGTCCACAGCCAGGTCATACCTGGCTTGCTGAAAGGACATCCATTGTCACCACTGTGCTACTCGCACCCAGGGAGGGTGGTCCTGAGCTGCTGCCCTGCCCCAGCTGCCACCCACTCACCGCTCTTGAGTGCTTTTTGCTTGCCTCCTTGAGCCACAGCCAGTCGGTTTGCACCTTCTGGGCAGACAGGATGCGGTGTCTGAGCTCCTCCTCTGCCAAGAACTGGGTTTCCAGCATAGCCAGGTCCTTCTGAAGTACAGCAGAGACAGAGGAAAGGAGAAGTCAAAGCTGGAAGGACCTTTGTGGGCCAGCTGGACTTCTGGGATGGCCAAAGCAGACTGCTGTGTGAAGGGGCCGCGTAGGAAAGCAGGAGGGACAGAGGGCACATAGGGCTGTCCCCAGCCCAGGGCAGCTGACAGCCAGATACAGAGGAGATATGAAGGCGTCTGCATGCCATAGGCAATCCCAGCTTTTTGCTGAAATAAATTTCTGCAATTTATTCCAGGAAAATGTACTAGCCTGGGCAAATGGGGCCATTCGTGCTAAGCCATTGTGGGCTTTGGAGCATCGGAGAGGGCCCCAAGGTGACCTGGGGCTGTTCTCACCTTGGTAACGTCACTGGCTCTGAGCGCATCCGAAGCCATCAGCTCCCTGTCCTGCACCTCCCCATGGTACGCCCCAGCCATGGTGTACAGGAGCTCCAGGTGCAGAATCAGATAGTCCAGCTCCTGCAGCACAGAGCCACTGCACGTCACCCACTGAGCCACGGGTTAAACAAACCTCAGTGGGACGTCCTCAGTCAGATCCCAGCCACGGAGCAGCCCTACCACACAGTGGGGACAGTGAAGGGCAGCTCACCTTCTTCAGGACATCCCGCAGTGCCAGGTACAGCGCGGTCACCTTCTGCCCGGCGTGGATTTTCATGTACATCTTCTCAATGTTGTTCTCCAGCTGGCGAATCATCTGCGGGGTGGGACATGGGGCGACCCAGCGTGTTGCGTCTGGGCTGTGCTGGGATTGGGAAGGATCTGCATACCTGCACTTGCTCCTGGTGCCGCTTGTCATCGATCCTGACATCCAGCAGCTGCTGCAGCTGCCACCGCAGCGCATCCCGGGCCTGGCTCCTCTGCCTCACCTCGTGCAGCAGCGCATTGCAGGCATTCACCCGATCGAAGATGCTGCTCCGGAGCTTCTCTCGGGCCCCCTGGATGGGCATGCAGGAGCTCGTGGGCTGGACCTGCCTGAACCTCATTCCAGGCCAGAGTCATAGGCTTGGGAACGTGGGGACACTGGGACACAGTCAGTCCCAGGCAGGGCTGAGTGTGGGAGAGCTTTGCTCCAGGCAGCAGAGCAAGGCAGAAGTGGGTGTTGATGGCTTTCTAGAGCCAGGACTCTGCAGGATGCAGAATGCAGACCCAGGACTGAGTGAGAATCAATTAAAATAAATCAATCATGACCCAGATATAGATGCTGGCATCATGTGATGGCACTGCTCTGTCCTTGCAAGAGACCCCTGGGCAAAGCAAATCCTCTGGGACTGTCCTGGCACCTCCTGCATGTCCATGGGCATCTAGCCGGGCTGTGACCTTGGGACAGGCAGAGAGAGCATGCTGCTCCCCAGGGTGCAGCTGTGCCCTGCAGGAACCCAGCAGACAATGCAGGCAGGACAGCCATAGCTCTGCTGGGGAGCTGCTCAAAGAGCTGGAAGATATCTGTACTGATGGCTCCCACAACAAAACGAGCATTTCTCATCGGATGGGACCTATGCACACTCTAGATCTCACAGCACCAGCCCTGGGTGGGGGTGCTGGCCCAAGGACACCCGTGAGCACCTGTTCCCAACTGCCACCAGGCAGACCCTCCTGTTACCTGCACAGTTTTGCCACACAAGTACTTCTGCGCTCTGCAAAACTCAGAGATGATGCGCTGGTCATGCTGCAGGCAGGAGAGGGACAGAAAGATCAGTGTCTGTCTGGGCGCTGTCACTGCCTACTGCTGCTCTACAGGGCTGGTATTTGCTCCTGGAGGGACCCAGCAGAGGAGCAGGGGCGCATCTGGTAGGAATGGCAGATACCTTCTGGGCAATGTCCAGTGCATGGATGTCCTCCCGCAATGTCCCATGCAGCTGGGAAAGCAGATTTTTGTTCTGCCTTAGCTTTTCCTCAGACAACTGCCTGGAAAACTTTTTTCCTTGCTCTGCAGGATGTTAAGGAGCTGTTAGTGCCATACCACCCACTGCTGCTACCCTGCGTTGAACATGAGTCCCCTCCTCTGCCCCAGAGGCTTGGGAAATGGGAAAAGGACAGTGGCCAGGCAGAGACATGGGACACTGGGCCAAATGCTGCCTCCCTAGTGCCTAGGCCCCACTGAGCCCAGTGGCACCCTGATGCCCCCTTTCTCCAGGGGGTCACTGTGCCCATGGGAACAGGAAGCCACTGAAGACTCTGTCCCCTGTGGGACTGTCACCCATTTTGTTTGAGTGCCACACTGGAGGCCAATGTCTAAACCCACCACGGTCACTACCCCTCAGAGCACGCATCCCTGTACCCCAAAGAGTCCCCATGGATTCAGCTTTGCATGGGCTGTCCCTGCAATGCTGTAAGAGCAGCACCTTGCAAGGCAATGATGTTGCGCAGCTCCTGGATCTGCTGGTTCATGTCTGCCCTGCGGCCCTGCATGGTGCCAGCAGTCCTGCCTCCAGATTCAGAGCGTGTGTGACAGTTGCTGCAGCCCCTGTCTGTTGGAGGCAGTCTGTGACCTCAAACAGAACCAGCACCACGGCTCCTCCAGGCACTGCACACCCTGCACCAGCCTTCTCACACCTCCTCATTGCTCATTGCCCCAACAGCTCGAGCACAGCACCCACAGCCCCTTCCCCTCTGCTTCTGCAGGGCGCAGAGCAACCTCTAAGCAATTACTGAGCCCTGAAAAGCAAGGAGGCAGACTGAGACCCCACTCAGCACCCAGTCACCATGGCTACGGCAGTTCCAACCTGCCCAGTCCCACCAGGAAACAGGGCACACTCAAAAGAAGGGGGTATGTTACTCCAGGAACATCTCAGCACTGTAGAGAGGATGGCTTGGTATCATCAGATCAGGAATTGAATTATTATTATTGAATTATTACCTGCTAACTGTTCACTGCATTCTTCTTGTTCCCCCCCCTTAATTCAGTTCCCATCACTCACTCATGAGAAATTTGAAGTCTATGTGACAATTTTTTGTCTCACCTCAAAGCTGTCTGTGTACTTCAGAGGCTGACTGTTACTATCTATGTAAGTATCTTTGAAATCTCTGTTAATTAGCCCTGAAACCATTACACTCCTTCTTGAAATGGGCGAAAGTAAAAAATGGAAAGAACAGCTGCCAATACTGGTATTTATTTTGATGCTTACCATCCATTCTTGCTGAAATACAAACATGACAAGAAATGCAAGCATGTTTATAAATAAAATCAAGCTCCCTCTACCAGAGAAAATCCTTAACATTTGATTTGTAGAAAAAGACTATATGGAAATTGACTTCCTAGCACCAAGCTCATAAATCAGCTTAGATTACATTTCTGTAACTCAAGGTCCTTAACCTGCAGCCATCCTGTTGCGCTCTAAGTGCATAAAACCCAAAGAAATTACAGAATTGTGAAATCAAATAAACCAACACAATGCTGTATGAGGTTCTTGCTCAGCGTCTCCTCTGCAGATTTATGGATTACATCTTAATTCTAAGTGCCAGTGACAGGTTAAATACCAGCATTACCATCCTTTTCATAAAGAATGCATGAGGAGATGGCCATTTGAAAGACAAGCAGTTAAGGGCTTGTACACGAGGAAGGTTGCCTGCCACGTCCAGATCTCCATGTTTAAACTTTGTCCACCTCACAAACACACTAATTATACCCCTAAACTTTCCTAGGCAGCATTTAAACAGGACAGCAGATTATCCTGGGGGCAAGAGAAAGCATTTTAAAACTGATTAAATGGTTCAAGAGTCTCCATCTCACTACCCTTCAGCAAAATGCAGGCTCCACAGTGGCAAGTCCTCCCAAAACACTGCTAGAGAAATTAAATCCAACCTTGCACAAGCTCACGTTAACAGGCTGCAATTTCAAAATGAAGCCCCTGACTGAGGATCTAGGTTCCTCTGCATGTGACATTTCAAATCTTTCTCTGGTTGACTTCAACTCTCCCCACATCAACTCTAGAAAACTCACAACATCTGTTACTGGTACAAAGGAAAAGGTCATGTGAAGAGTACAAACCAGAGCTCTGTTTAATTGTCATATAAAAGGTAATTTACTCTAAAATTACGCAGCGAGGAATGAATATAACACATATTCATCTGAAGCAGAGATCTAGTGGTTGGCCAGCTTGCAAATCCCAATTCACTGTGTATTATCAGCATGGAAACAGGCTCATGAATACCAAAGGCTCCCCTTAAACTCCTGCTGGCTCAGCCTTCAGACACCCAGGGGTGTATACCAGGTATTTTTATTGTATTTTTAGTATCTTTCCAGCTTCTGTCCTCTTTTCCCCTCTTGTTTGAGATTCCCAATTTAAACTTGAAAGCATTTGTTTCGCACAGCTGAAACAAGCCTTCACAAAACTATGCAGAACGCTGTGCCTCGGGAGCTGGCTGGAAATGCTGTGCTAGAAAGAAGCATAAAAAGCCACAGGATAAAGGACAGCTACCACGAGGGAATGAGGGCCCAACAAAAGCCTGTCTAGCACAATGGCCAGAGGCCACTGCCTGGGAGAGATCCGCTTCATTTCATCCCATGAATAACAACAGCTCAGAAATGCAGCCTATGCCTTCAGCCTCCAAATGCACCACTGCAGCCAGGGATAGCTCCTATGCTATAACAAAAATAGTTATTTCTTTCTGTATCTGTAATACATAAATAGATGATAATAATTATTTTTTTTCTTACCAATGTAGCTAAATATATTTTATGAATAAATTATTTGGAGAACTTTTTTTCTAAGTTAGCAAGTTCTGTTATACCCAGTGAAGGAAATATACAAGAATGGTCCTTTAAATTACTGTAATTATTAAGCAGCCAATTATGGGTGTCTACTTCAGTTTTCATCCTGCTAAGAGATCAGCAGACGCGATCCACACTTTGCACTTGCCTGAAAGTGAAAACTTATCTCTCTTTCCCAAAGGTTTCTCTCCTCACATACAACACCCACCCCCTGGTGGCCTATGCAATCTTCCACTCATCACTGATAACTCAAAGCAAACGTGATTGGCACCGTATCAGTCAAACACTCTCCATCAGCAACCCTTAACATTCACCAAAGCTAAATTCCCTATCAAGTCTTAACTCAATTCTCATTAGTGCAACTCTGACACAAAATGTTCCTACAGGCAAATCACCTGTAAACCAAGCAATGAAAAATGATTAAAAAAAAAACACTGCATGGAAAAATCCCAAAGAGTTAGTGTGTCAGAAGGTATTTGGGCAATAAGAGGTTGGAGAAAAAACAAGAAGGCCAAACAGAAAGGAATGGCTAATGCCAGTTGTTAGACATTGCTGAAGTAGTCGCAGTGCTCCAGAAGGGTTTTTGTTATTCAAGCTTTTCATCTCCTTCCTCCACATCTTTCAGACTGAGCACTTCCAGCGTTCCTTTCCCTTTGGTCTCAGACCGGATCAGCTCATCAATCTCTCTGAAGCAGCCCGGGTCAATAAGGCACACCTGAAATATACCACAGATCATCAGTCAAGCAACTGTTATTGTTCAGTTACTAAGAAGGACTTAGTAACTTTGAAGAGTTGATAAGCAATTATCTTTACAAAAGCTTTCAGTTCCAGCACAGTCAGGATTCTGGACACTTTGACAGTTAGGTTTCTAAATTCTTAACTGTTCTTAATTTTTTTTTTACCAATACCAAATTTGTTATATCACAAACTGCTTTTAAAAAACTAACTATTGCCAAAATACCAGAACCACCAAATAATTAACAGGAAATTTCCATATATGCAGAGAAACTCATCAATATGACAGGATAATGACTGCTAAGAGAAACTACACCATGCTTCTCCTCAACCTGAACCAGCCATTCTGTGCCATAAAAAACTACTTCCAATCTTTATGGTACAGAGAACTACATCTCTGGTACCCTTGCAGTTTTTCTAAACAACTTCCCTACACTGCACTGGTAAAATCACATATGAAAGCCAAGATCTGCTTTATCACTTACAATTTCTAACTGATCATGAAAGTCTTCATTCTCAATAACTTTAATCAGTGGCTTGAGCTTCTCTTTCAGTTTTTTCCCCTCCTTTACCGGAAGAATAAATCGTAACCTCATGTGAGCACGTTCAATTTGCATGGTCTCCTTTAACTGTCTGATCACTTCCAGTGCCTACAGAAACATTCAGAAAAGAATAAAGAGCATTTAAATGCACAAAGATCAAAACTTCTCATTTACATCATCATCAGAAGTTGCTTGTACTCATCATTCAGCTGACAAACCCTTCTGACAGCTTTCAACCACGGGGCTTTTTTACTCCTGTACATCCCTAGCAGAATTTCACTTGAAGGTAACACCTCTGAGTGCAAGCTGATTTTTAGGGAATACTAACCTGTTGCTTAGTGCTCTTGTTTGGTTTGACCGAGTAGTGAATATCCTTCATGGCTCTTTCTATAAGGATTACAGTGTATGGCCTCTTTGTCTCAGGGTTCACACATTTGTCAGCCACAATAGTTGCAATGTCCCTAAACATCTGCTCCAGCTGTGTTTGTCGTTCTTTGTCTGATACCTGCAACTCCCCTTTTGATAGAATCTGTAGAGTCAATTAAAAATAAAGAGGTTAATAAATGCCAAACATTTGACTAAAAAGTGAAAAGCCTAACATTAAATTTAACAACTGCTGGAAAGTTTTGGTTAGACACAAAATGTAGAAAAAGAATAGCTATATCAACAATGACACACAATGGTGGAAAGATTTAACAGGAAAAACCCACAGCAGCACCACTATCTGCCTGCTATGAGGTCTCCCTGAAGCCTGATCCCCTCCAGGCTGAACGAGCCCAACTTCCTCAGTCTGTCTGCACAGGAGTGATGCTCCAGCTCTCTGAGCATCCTTGCAGCTCATCTGTGTCTGCAGAGAACAGTGCATAAAAGCAGTACAGAATAATCAAAACTCTCATCTAAGAGATGTATAAACTTAACAATACACCAAAGAGCTACATCTTTGAACAGATAAATCATTTTTCTGCATACATCACCACTTCATTCTATGAAAGCCTTCCAGTAACGCATCAACCCACCAGGTCCGCATGCCATGTATATCTCCAAGCTTCTATAAACGTATTGCAAAGTGCACAGAACCTACCACTTTACAGATTTCTGTTTGGTCATCCGTTCCAAATGCCCGGACGAGGTCTTCCTTCTTTGCCACCTGGCCTTTAGAAACATTGACAAACACTGTGTGGGTCTGCAGGACCTCGTCAATATCCTTCTCCCTAGTGAAGTAAAGCAGCATTAGAAAGGGCTGTGGGGTGACACCGAGCTTGGGGCGGGGAGGAATGAATCCTATTGCCAAGGGCTGAGTCAGTGGCCCTGCAGCACTGCTGCCAAGGCCTCGGGGAGCAGCTGGGTGGAGGCAGCCTGCAGAAGCTGAGGCAATCCCTGGGCTTCTTCAGATCCATAGCTCGGTCACGCAGCCACCTTCCCTCTGCAAACTGAGGGCCTTCTCCACTCACATCTGAGTCCCACCGGGGATCTCTCCCCTTCGGACTGCCCCACGGAGGCCTCCCTCCCTCACAGTCAATCCCACGGCTGCCACTTCCTCCCTTAAACTCGAACCCACCGAGGACTCCCAGCCTCACAACCAAACTTCACTGGGGGCTTTCCCTTCTCCTCAACTCATGCCTCTCACTGAGGGCCTCCCCTTTCAAACCGGGATTCTCCCCACAAAGCCGGCCCTCCCCCTTCAAACAGGGTCCCATGGAGGCCTCCCCCTCCACGCCGGTCCCACCGCAGGTTCCCTCTCTCGCAGCCCGGCTCCACAGGAGGCCTCCCCCCCTCTCATAGCCGGGCTTTCAAGGCACTTACGCTCCGCTTCGCCAGCCCATGACTTTGTTACGGTAACAGGCGATCTCGAAGCGCTTTCCGGCGCGCCGTGCCCGCACCACGGCCACATTGGTGAGGCGGATCTGGTTGGTGGGGGTGAAGATGGACATGGCGGCGGCTCGGCCGGGCTGCGCCCCCGCGTCACTCAGGGCGTTTGGGGGTGGGACTTCCGGTCAGTGCATTTTCTCATTGGTCTCTCTCTCCGCAGTCCCCGCCCACCCGCGCACCGGAAAAAGTCGTCCGGGGGGAAACGGGAGAGCGCGGCGGGGCCGGAAGGAAATGGAGGTGGCACATGGCGGGCGGTGGGTGCGCGGGGCTGGAGAGTGGAGTAATTAATTGGGTGGGTGCATTGGGGTAATAAGTTATGGGCTGGGCTTCTTCAGAGGGGTAATTGGCGGAAAGGTGATTAGTGTGTGTGTAGGGGGCCCTAGGAGGGGGGTGGGAGGGCATAGGGTCCAACCCACAGCGGGGTAATCATGGGTGGGTGGAGGCGTAGATGTGGGCATAGATGTGGGTGTAGGGTCTCCTCAGTGGGTTAATGGGTGATGGGAATGGCAGAGTTGCACAGCAGGGCGGTTTTTGGGATACAGCTTTAGTGGGGAAATGTGGGGCTGAGGCACGGTGTTTAGGAGCAGGAGGTGCCCCGGCTGGGATCCTCATCCAGAGCTGTGAGGGTGAAGCGATGGTGAAGTTTCCAGCTGCTGTGAAATACTCAATTTCTGAGTCTGTAAAAAAAACAGAATGGTGGGAGGGCTGCAGACAGCAGCAGGATGCCATGATCTGTTTCTCGTGCAATAGGTGTTGCAAGTGAGCCTTATTCCAGCCCTTGATTTTTTCTTATGCAATAAGTAATTGCAGGAATTGCACGAACAGCCCTCCTGGCTGCAAGATCAAGTAGTTGGAATTTAGTGTGTGAGAGCCGTAGCCTTGGGGTTGGCTGCCAGGAGAGGGTGTCTCCTTTTCTAGAGATATTCAAGATCCATCTGGACAGTTCTCTGTGCAGCCTGCTGTAGGGAACGGACATGGGGTTGAACTAGGGGAGCTCCACAGGTCTCATTTGACCCCTACAATTCTGTGGTTCAAGTCAGTTCGTAACAGTCTCAATGGCTATGAATTAAACCTCACCTATGCTGTATAACTCTGGGAAAGCACTTGAGTTTGAATCCAGATCTCAGTCTGTTTTTGAAATTCTACCGAGCATGTTAGAAGAAGCGTAGTGTCTTGCATGTGCAAGGTCTCTGTTCTGCAGCAGGCTCTCTTGGGATGATTCCCCTCCTTGGAATGTCATTTCCCATCTGCAGAGATTTACATTTGTTGGTTCTGTGTGAAGTGAAGGTCAGAAAACTCCAGCTGATGTTTCACAGGCATGTTTTAAGCAGTAGTGCTGCACAAGTGTTTTCTGCTTTTCTTTGCATCAGAACTTGTCCTAGATCAGAAAAAAACCTGTAATTCCATATGATAGCCTAAAATGTTTGCTTAGGTAGGTAGATGGAACTACATATGCGCTGCTGAGAAGGTGGAGGTCTTTGTTTCAATAGCTGTGGTGTCTTCAGCTGAGAGCTGTTTTCTGCAGAGCCTGAGAATAGCTGATGGCATGAGTCTGTGGGTATGGTATGGTTTTCTTGTGCTTGTTCTAATTTCATTCTGAAAGAATCTGCTTCTGCTACATATGTGATTTATTCCAGGTTTAGATGTCTCAATGGATACGTGGAATTTTTTCTACACTTGCCTGGTGTCCTTATGGCTGCACAGAATTTACATCTATTCTGTTATGGCTTTTGGGATCAGCCTTTGGATTGCCATTCAGTTCTTCACTACCAAAGCCAAGAGGAAGGTAACTGAGTGCTTATGTACATTTCTCTGAGAAGAACCCAAAATCTTTGGGTGGAAAGGAGTAGTAGTTACAAGGTGAAGGTGACTGCTTGTGTAGTGAGATATTGTATTTCACTGTGGGCTCACCTTGCTTCATGCAAATCCCAGTTGTAGCTTATTCTAAGTGACAACCTCCTGTCTGGATTGATTGAGTGTGGATAACTACAACACCTTTGTTCCTCTGATGGCAGAACAGATCTCAGCTGAGAGCTTCTCAATTTGCTGCAGAGAAGTGTCAGCCTGAGTAGCTCAGTCACAAAGCAAGTTGCTCTGTTTGTGCCCAGCGTATCAGGTTAGTCTTTCCAGTGACTTTAGTGGAAAGACTGAACTGGTTTTAGGATGGAAGTGTTGTTACCTCATTCAGAATGTTAAAGCATCCTTATATGCTGGAGTGAAGCTCTGTTGCATGAGGTGGGAGGAATTACTTCTTGGGTTCTGCCAGATCCTGCTGTTGCTCTGAGGTGTGAGATGAGTTTGCAGCATAGCCTAATTCAATTAAGTAGTCAGTTAGGCTTTTTTTTTCTATAGAGTGTAAGAAGCTAGAATACTTTAACTATTGCATTTGCTTAATGCTGAGAAGCTGGATGCTGGTTTTGTATTTCAAATGCTTTTGGGCAAGTAGGCTGAATGATACTTTGAAAAGGGATTGAGTGAGACACATGTTGGTTTCTTTTTTTCCATAGGATGAAAATTCCAATGGGAATCTAGTGTCTTCTGAGGTAGTAGAAGGCAAACTAGTCAATGGATATGCTACTCTGCAGCCAAAGGAGGTCTGTGTTGCTGGAGTGAAGATTTTCTATGGGTCTCAAACTGGCACAGCAAAGGTATGAGTTACTGCTTTCTCCACATGCCTGAAGTTGAGATTTGAGTGTGTTGTTTGCCTTAAAAACACTGAGCTAAGTAAAAATCTGAAAGTTATTTGGAAAGCTCATTAGAAAATAGTGTCTGATGTGAAAGCTGACTCAAAATTACAAAAACAGGAAGACAACTGTTCTCTTTGTAAGTGGGGCGTGTAGTAGAGAGGTTAATTGTTGAGCTTAGGACTTACTCTTAGAATATACTCTTAATTTGCTAGGAGATATTTCCTGTAGACAGAAGTGCTGTTCTAGGTACTTGGTCAAAAAATGCTAATTTCTGAGTATGTAAAATTATTAGCTGTTAGCCTTTATGTAAATTTTCAGTGTATTTCACTTCTTAAATATGAAGTATTACAGGTGCAGAGCCCAATTTTCAAGTGTCTGTATTGTGTGAAATCTTATGACTGGGCACATAGTTTCCTTGACACTTGCTGTAGCTGGGTTTGTCGCCGATAACTTTCTACCTTTAACTTTTTAGAGATTTGCAAAGGATTTGGCTGAAGCTGTTACTTGCCTTAATTTGCCTGTGGAAGTCATTAACATGGGAGATTATGATCCTGATGATTGTCTAGCAGAGGAGGTAGGTACTTAGTACAAGCTTTTCTGGACATTGAGGCTCTTTTCCTCTTGTGGTTTCTCTTGTCCTGGAAGTCTCCAGAGCTGTGTTTGACTATTTTCTCTTTGATGTAGGAAAGCACAGCTCATCAGTCCTCACCACTAATCTTGAAAGTTACTGTAAAACGTCATGTAGAATATGCTGATACTGACCTTGGTTTTGTGTGAGCTGGTTCTGCAGCTCTGACGGGTACACCTGAAAGATTGAACACCAGAATGAATGGATTGTGGTACCTCCATAGCCTTCAAAGCCTGAAGTGAGAGAATTCCTTGGAGGCATATTTCTACTGAGTAATCCTTGATAGATTTTTCATCTGTAAATGATTCTAAGTTACAACCCCCTGTCTTGATTGTATTGAGTGTGGATAACTACAACGCTCTTGAATCTGTGGGAAATGTTATCACTGCAAGAGTTTGTTCAAGAAGCTCTTGATTGTGTGGGGAAGGTGGATGTCAAGTTTTGCTGTCATGTTTTTGTTGGGTCCCTAAGGAACACAGCTTGATATTTCTTGGCTGATTTGGGGAGGCTTTGCACAGAGGATAGGCACTCACCATTGCTGAGGTTACTACCTGCAGCATTTCCAATCCACTTAACAAAAAAAAACCCTGATTCCTTCCAATTCTCTGTGTATTGTTAGTGCTTGTCCTGACGTAAAATGCTTTGAAAGCTGCAGTTATCTTTCCTGTCCTGTTCTCTTTATTATACAATAGACAACCAGCAGGAACATCTGTGTGTTCCTGGTAGCTACGTACACAGATGGGCAGCCAACTGAGAGCGCAGCCTGGTTCTGCAAGTGGTTGGAAGAGACTGCGAATGACTTCCGCTTTGGCAAAATGTATCTGAAGGGCCTGAGATATGCTGTGTTTGGCTTGGGAAACTCAGTTTATGTTGATCATTACAACACGGTGAGTATATTCCCATTATCTTTCTTTTCTGCTCCTCTGGATGGCTAAATCTTCCTAACTACAATAACGCTGAGTGGCACCAGTGGGTGGTTAGGGTTGGGGGGTTGGTGTTATTTTGAGAATACACTGGTGTGTGAGCTGGTATGGATTTGAAGGTGTGAGAAGTCAGCTTCTATTTCAGCCTTTGTGTGGACTTAGTAGGAATTGGGTTTAGGCCACAGGCAGTGTGGCTTTGAAGCACGTGTGCTGCTCTCTGAAGTGGGAAAGAGAGGACTCCAATATTCATGGTGTGAATCTGAGTGGTTTTAGTGATGACTACTGAGAATACACTTGATAAATCCTTATTAACTTAATTTTCCAGCTTTGAAAGCTTTCTGTCATACAGCCCTTCATGAAGATGCAGTATTGCTTTGCAGTTTAGAGCATGGTTCTCAACTTTCCATGTGTTTTCCTGGACTCTGTCGATCTTAGTTTTATTTCCTGAAGTAAAATATGATGGTATCTAAGCCTGATACTTAGGTTTTTTTCTAACTTGGCACGGCTTGCCACTGGATCGTTATCTTTGTATAGCTGCAGGCCATGGGGAATGGCAGTAAGCCCCTCACAAGCTAGTTCCCAGACCTCACCTGTCACATAACCATGATAGCAGATGAAAGCCCAAGGCTGTGTGGTGGTGTTCAGACTGACTTGTGTCCACAGTCTGAGTCAGCAGGTGACGGGGAGTCCAGAAATCCCTACCATGCAGTCCTGCAGCCCCTGTAGCTTACCAGTTCTGTTGTCTTTGCTTTCTTAATTGCATGTTTTCGCTTGGACTTCATTCAATTTCTCTAATTTCCATCCCATCCCAGGTTGGAAGAAATATTGACAGGTGGCTGTGGATGCTCAGTGCCAGGCGTATCATGACTCGAGCCGAGGGGGACTGCAATGTGGTCCAGAGCAAGCATGGCAGCATTGAGGCTGACTTTGAAGCCTGGAAATCCAAGTTCCTCAGTTGTCTCCAGGCCCTCTGCAGAGGGGAAAAGAAGCCCTGCAGTGGGAAGTGCAAGAAAGGGAAGTGCAAATCCCAAGGGAAGCAGAGTAAGGAGGGTTCAAATCATGAACGTGGAGCACCAGAGTTTGAGAACACTGAGGTAGAGCCAAAATCTATGGGTTCTTATTTCTGGTGTGGTGCTTATTGAAGTGCTATTTGACTTTTTCTTCCTTCTGTCCCACAGGCCAGAGGGGCTTAGGCTTGATCCTTCTTTAGTATGGAGTGGGGGGGGTTGGGGGGGGTTATGAGATGGGGGGTAGCAGGCGAAGTAATCCAGAAAGAGGGACCAATGACTAGTGTGGACTAGACATAGTGGCTTCTATATGAGGAGGGAGCTTTTTGCTTGAGTGGGAGGAGGTGTGTGTTGTGACACATGCTCCAAGGGAATAAGTCTTTGCTTTGTATCATGGCCAGAATGAAGCCTTTGAGCAGTTAACCTGCTCCCACTTCAACTTGAAGCTCAGGCACTTTGTTTGCAACCCAGGGGCCTCCCAAGTAGATCTGCCTGTTCGTTCAGGCAGGGGTACTCAGAGAAGCAGGAGTTCAGGCATTGAGATCATTGTAGCATCCAGCAGGAATCAGATCCTTTTGTATCACTTATGTGATCAGATAGGGATACAGCACCATGGATTTGGAGTTTCATGTGGTCTGTGTACTACTGAATCATTAGAAATAAGGGCATCTCATCTTACACAAGTTATTGCCAACCTATAGTGTATTTCTTAGTAGTCTTCATTGAGACTTAATTGGTTTCACTGGTTAGTATGAGTGAAGTCTTTCTGTTGTCACAGCAGATATGTTCCTATTCTTTTCTCTGGTCACTTACACAGGCTGAAGAATTGTTTGAAACCACCAGTGAGGAGGAAGCTGATGCTGAGGAAATTGGAGGCACAGATTCTGTTGTAGATGTTGAAGATCTTGGCAAAATCATGAGTCACGTGAAGAAAGCTAAGGTACTGCTACTACAGCAATTACAGAGCTGCCAGGTCTTTGTTATTGATTAAAATATAGCCTGCTGGATTCAAACCTGCAGAGTCTAGTTAAACATGAACTGTTTACAAACCTGTCCCAGAAAAGAACGTACTTGGAGGTATGTTGCATTTGGTTGTTTGCTAACTGGCTTTGTCTTGTTCACTGAGCAAATGCTGCCGCATAACCCACTGCTCTCTGGCTGAGAGAAATGACTTCCACGGTGAATATCACATGTCTGAATGTACAACTCTGTCTCTGTTATCTGTGTTTAAATGCAAATCCTGTTATACCTGGCTGAAATGCAGGTGTGTGTAGTGCTGATATGTCATGACAAGGGAGTGGAGTGCCAACAGTACAGGTGGGGTGGTAACAGACTGCTGCAACATCTTCTGTGTCTTGCTTGCTGCTACCCTAAAATCAGGTACTGCATTCTCATCTCAACAAACCTGTAATTTAGCTTTCTTACCTTGCACAACTCATTGCTTTGCTTTGCCAGTCTGAGCCAAGGTTACACAGTTGGACCCTATCAAGGCAAACCTTGTGTCACAGCAAGCTGAAGGCTTAGGAGGGAAGGCAGCTACAAGGAGAGTACAGGGATCTCTGATCCTCACTCTGTAGTGTGGGAGGGAGGTAACCTACTGCTTGCCTTCAAGTCTGATGTAAGGAGTAGCTCTGCTAGCCTAGGGGTTAGTCACTCTGCTGGGTGAGAGCTTCCATCCCTGAACAGCAGAATGTCATCTTACCTGCTGTGGCTTGCAAGGGGAAAAAAAAAGTACGTTTTTCATTTGTTGATGGGGAAAGGGTCAACATTGTTCACAGTAACCATGCTGTGAGGTGGTGCTTCTCCTGTACGTGCTCACCACTAGAGGTCAGTGACAAAAAGGGATCTGTATTTTCTGTAGCAGCAGGCATGAGAGATGATTTGGGACCAGCAGTTCTGTGAAAAATTAGGCCTTGAGTTCTCACTGTCTGATAAAAATACAGCAACACCATGGTTGTGACTGCACTGATAAAATGCTTAAAGCTTGTCATGCTCATTGATCTGTGTTGTTTGGTTTTGTAAATAAGTGAAGATTTCACTGAAGTCTGCAGTTTTGGTTGATGTGATTCAAACAGCAGACTGCTTTGTTTTTACTTAGCTTTCTCGTTGCCTTGCTTGGTTGGTGAGAGGGCTGTAAGACTGCAGGGTGTTTGCAGCAGCAGTGCCAGTGTGTAGATCAGGTTCCTGTGCCTCAGACCCAAGTGGTGTCACTGATCTGAGATGGTTTCTGTCTGAGCACAGGTGCTTATCTGGAGCTGCAGGCTGCAGTGTTCTCATCTGCTGTCTTATCAGAGGAGATGTTCTGCCCTGACAGCTGAGCACTGCCCTCTGACTTCTGCAGGTTGTTAATTCTTAGTGTGTGAATCTATATGTGGGACCATGGTGAGGATTAGAAATTGCACTTTTCTTGTGCTCAGCAGTGTTCTGGCTGCTTTGAATGTGAGTTGTTGTCAGCTGATGTGACAAAGGCCTCTGCAGATCAACTTTGCTTTGTCTCTGCATTGCACTACCCTAGGACTTGTCCTAGGATTTGTTTTGAAACTCTAAATGGTGCAGTTTTTGTTAACTGGCCCTGTTTTGCTTGGCTGACCTGCCTACCTGCAGTCTACCTTGCAATCTACACTTCTGGTTTCATGTTGCTGTAACCTGAGCAGGTAATGGAGAAACAGCCTTCAGTGATGACTTCAATGTAAGTCTTCAGCCCTCTTGGACAGGTGTGTTGTTTCCAAAGTGACAGCAGAGTATAGCTGTGTAAATATTTCATGAGGGAGCCTGACCTGATGGCTGTCCATAGCATTAGCTGGGAGAAAGAACGGCTTTATCTCAGTGGTGAATCTCCTGGGGAATGCACGCATTTGCCAACAGGCTTATGTGAACACTTGAATTGTAAAAAAAAAAGATCCCACAGGTGCAGTTATTTTCATTAGAGTAAAGAGTGCTGAAGACTTGATAAGAAGGAGCAGGATGATCTGTGTCTGTGGAAGTAATTCATTGCACTTTGCTCCCAGGCTGGGAGTTACAGTTGTTTAAATGCAATGCATTTTTGGCTTTCTTAAGTTACCCTCAATTTAGTAGCTATGAATTTGTGCAATGAGAGGTTCTTTTTCTCAGTTGAGTTGTGTTGTCCCTTTTGGTCACTTATTCTTTCTCGGAATGCTGAGCGGTGTGAAATCATTTTGACATTCTTTCCCTTTACACTGATGTCATCTGTTACTGCAGTGATCTTTGCCTCTGGAGGCAAGTACATACAGGTTTCTGCATCACCTGTGTAGAAGCCAGTGTGTTCAAACGTGGGTATTCCAGGACTGTATCACACTTCACATGCAGAGTGACTGGGATTTGAAATATGCCTAGCAATTTCCAGTGTGGTTTTTTTTTTTGGATTCCAGTTTTGTGTATTAACTCCTCTGCATATGGGAGATGTGTGAGGCAGTACCTCCTACTCCAACAGAGTTAATCTGTTGGAATGTTTTAGGATCCATCTCTTGGTCTTCGCAGGCGTGTTGCCACTTGTGAGGATCACTAGCAGGTGAGATGGATGAACAGTTGTAGCTCATTGACCTGCTATTATGGGATAGCAAAGTGGGGCTGTAGCAGCAAGTACAGCTAAAAGATATTTACTCAAATCTCTGTGAGTGATCTTAATATTGTGTTCATTTCCTGTTACTTGATTTGATAGAAACCCAGGCGGAGTTGTTTTGCAGCTTTTTTTGTGTGTATGTGTTGATAGTTGTAGTATTCTTGTGTGTCACAGCTTCATCATATTTTACAGTGTAGCCCAAGGGTCTGAGACTGAGGTTTTTGCATTCGTTTGGATCAGCTTAGATGGATCCAGGAGTTATGAGGTGAATGGCAGAACTCACCTTCTGAATATAGTTGTAGTTGGTGTACAATATGCTTTGGAGAAGAGATGGATTTTTGAGTTGGGAATGCAGGCACAAGGTTCAGGTTGCTACTTACTGTCTACACACTGTGCCAAAAAGTTGGCAGAAGGGAGGTATCGAAGGGAAATCATTCAAATATATAAAATGATGATTTAGTATGAAGGGAAATTCCACTCTTTATCGAATCATTTACTGTCACACAATAACTGTTCAATAGTTTCTGGAATGCAGCACGTTTTTCTAAGTATTTCAGTTTTTGGACCTTGCTACCTCAGGATATTATTGCAGATGATGCTTAGTGAGCTTCTGACCAGAGCACAAACCTGGTTCAGTTCAGAAGGCACCTGCAGTTTCATAAAGGGAAGTGCTTGAGCATGACAGTCCAGAAGTGGCACTCCAGCCACCCAAGGAGGGCTGGGAGGTCAGTGCATTGCTGCAAGCTCACAGCTGTATTTCCCAGAGCCATGATGATCCTGGGCTGATGGCTGCACACATAGGTGGGTTAACTCCTGGATTTCTTCTACATCTATTTATTCCAGCCTGGTGTTTTTTTTGTTGTTTTTTTTTTTTTAGATTGAAAGTCTGGGCTTGTTCTACAAGGCTCTTTTATGTGGCAGCAGAAGGCAGTGGTTCTTGTTGGATTCAGTAACAAAAGGACTTCTGTGTAGTTGTGGTACTCTTTTGCTGTCCTCCAAAGTTGTTGATGCACCTCTGAAATATACTTTTCAGCGAAATGTGAAATCTAATGGGTATGTTTGTGGCCTGCAAGACTGCAATTAATCACAGGGACACCATTTCTTAATGTAGATTATCTCCCACAGCTGGGAGATGGTGATAAACTAGAAAGGCAGATCAATCTAGACTAGTTCCCAGGGAATGAAATGGCTTTATTAACCTTGATATTTATAAACTGCAGCATGAGGAGTAATAACAATAATAATCTAATTTTTTTGGATGGGCTGAGAAGTAATCAAATAGGCATGTTTTGTTGGCACAGTTCAGTGATGAATGTTCCTGTTTTCTAAACCAAAGCTTAATGATGCTGATAGTCACATTTTGAACATAAACACAAAGGAGGGGGGAGGGTGTGAGAACAAGGCTCAGGTTGACTTTATAGGGAAGAAAGTATGTCCCAAAGAGTCTGTTCAAGAAGCTTGTTTTGGTGCTGTATCTGTTGGCTGCGAGGGAGGTTTCTCCATATCCTTTGGCTCCTCTTTCAAAAAAGCCATTCCTAATGGGAGCTATTCACCATCACTGGGGTTGTGAACTGCCTTGCTCAGTGCCTCCCAAAAGCCCTCTGTGGGAGAGGAAACTTCTAATGATGTTGATTGGAGCTGGGCTGGACGTGGGGCAGTATGTTTTAAGGCTTACTGATGGATTTACATCCATCAGTATTGCATGTGACTTCGTTACAAGCAGATGATTCCAGAGCATGCAAGAGCTGGTAGTGTTCTGCCTGAATTGAAAAAGGCAGACTACTGAACTCAGATGTAGAAACGGTTAAAAATGATGTGTGCCTTCAGAGATCTCCAAAAAGTTTTTCTAACTTTTAATGGGTGAGGGATTCATAGAGGGGGAGGAAAAAACGTGCTCTTACATTCACCAGCACAGACTCTGGGCCAGATCTTGACCTCTGCTACACTGGCTTGGAATTCAGAGTGATCTCAGGTTTTGAAATGAGCTTTAATAACTAGTTTTTAATTGCTGAGGGGCTACTTCTAGCCCTGAAATCTGGCCCTGGGACACTTCACCTCATCCACTTCCTGTGTTTAAGTCTTTCTTCTTTATATCTTAATATATTATAATTCTTCATGTTAGACAAACAAAAGAGATTTGAGGCTTGACTTAACCTTGTAAATCCTTGGAGTACCTGCTGGAAAAGGGAAGAAAAATGCTGTAAAGGTTACCTTGCCTGGGCAGTCTTTGGCATGCGCTGTGATACTGTCTTTCCCTGATGAGCCTCTATAGAAAGCTTTGAGGTCGAGGAATAAAGGGCCTTATTTCTATGCTGGTTGGTAGATTCCATGCCCCTTGCTGCTCTTTCGTCTGTTATAAA